CCGCAACACCCTCCTCATGTGCGTCCTCTCGTTCCCGCAGTTCGGCCAGTTCGACATCACCCGGGAGGACTTGGAGAGCTGGTACGAGTGGTTCTATGGTGAGGACATCGGGGGCCGTTTTCCCCCGCCAGAGGACCACGTCCTGGCAATTGCCGAACGCAACGCATGGCGAAAGATTCACGAGAAGATGCATGAGGGCAACACCCTCAAGGCGGCCATGCTGTCGGTCAGGCAGGACACATTGTTCTGGACACGTGAGGTCTACGAGAAGATCAAGCCCTTTTCCAGGGGCCGCCCACCAACCAGGACATCCATGGACTACGCACCACCTCAGAAGGGCAAGAACAAGTCCAAGGGCAAGGGGAAGTCCAAGGGCAAGCCTGGGAACAAAGGGAAGGGTAAGCCCCCCCACCTGAACAATCAGGCGTCCCGGGGCGGTAACAAGCAGGCAGCCACCGACCCGAAAGGGAACCAGTTCTGTAACAACTGGATGCGCGGGCGCTGCCCGGGCAACTGCGGCCGCACCCACAAGTGCAACCTCATCCTGGCAATGGGCCGCATCTGCCTGGGGGACCACCTCCCGCAGGACTGCCCGGGTTGACTAGGGGCGCTGACCCCTACCCCCCGGGAGGCCTCAGGTGCCGAGGGCCCTGATAAGGCCCGGAGGCGAGAAGGGGCGCAAACGCCCCAAGCAGGCACAGAAGCCCCCTCCTGCAGGTGCCGAGGGCCCTGACACAGGGGGGGGACAGGCCAGGTGGCGGCCATCCTCGGCGGAACAAGGATGGGGACGGCAGAACCAGCGTGCACAACGCCCTCGCCGTGATCAGAACAGCCACACAACCGGCACAACGGCGGCGCCTCAGTCCCGAGCCACAGGTGCCGAGGGCCCTGATATGGCGGGGACGGGACGGTTCCCCGCAGGTGCCGAGGGCCCTGACACGGAAAGGCCGCACCCAGAAGGCCCGAGTGCCGGATAACTGGCAGCACACCGCAACGCCAAGGGACACTCCCAGGAGGCAGCCGATCCCACTTCCGGCGCCCAACATCATCAAGCAGGACCCGGTGGTTTTCCACAAGAGCTCGGTGGGGCTGAATGAAGGGGGCCAACGCCTTTCAGCTACCCCCCTGACAAGTCCAACGGAGCCGTCACCGGGATTGGACATCTTCCCGTGGATGGAGAACATCCCTGAGCGTCTGGTACAGCGGCTGAGATGGACACAGGGCACATCGCCCAAAGTTCCATCCAGTGGGCCCATCATTGTCCTGCTCTATGCAGGCAAGGAAGACCCAACTTCCTTGGACAGCTGTCTTCATGCCAACGACCCACACCTTTCCAGCATGGTGGTGGCGGTAGACATCCTACGGTCTGGACCAAAAGGGGACCACGATATGCTCCAACCCGAGCTGTATGGAGCTCTTTGCACGGCAGCAAAGCAGGGCCGAGTGGTCTTCATTGGAGGAGGACCCAACTGCAGGACATGGTCCATCCTGCGCCACATACCAAAACCGGGGCTCCCACCCCGGTGCGAGGGCGCACTCCAGAGACACTTTGGGGCCTTCCACACCTGGACCAGGCCGCCCAGACTCAACTTGATGATGACAGCATCCTCATTCTGAGACAGATGTACATCACCAGCCTGGCAAGGGCCTCACGAGCGGCGGTTTCTCTGCCAGGGCCCAGGTCCTTCCTGGAACACCCGGAGCACCCAGTGGTGAGCAGCTCGCTGCCCAAAGCCAAGGAATGCTCATCCTTCTGGATCACAGAGGAGGGGCAGCTTTGGATGGAGGAGAACTCCTTGACAGCAATCTCCTTCGACCAGTGCCGCCTGGGCCAGCTGGTCAAGAAGACCACTACGCTGGCCACGGATCTCCCGATCCAGGACTGGGATCAAATGCGGTGCACGCATCAGTCACATGTGGGCACCAACGAGTCCTCGACTCTTAGCAGATACCCTTGGGATATGATGGCAGGCTTGGCCAAAGCCATCGCTGTGTCACTCGCAGCGCCGGGGCACATCCGGATCCCCTCACAAGTTCCGGGAAACCCCAAGGAACCACCTAAAGGGCGGGGGTCGGACCCCCCGGAAGGCCATTCCCCCCGGGGAAAACGGGGGCCCAGTCAAGGAGGCGGTCCCTCCTCATCACACCAGGGCTCAAAGCCCGGAGGCAAGAACGCCCCGAAGCCCCGCCTGCACGGGCAGTTCCACCCTGAGGTAGACACCGTAAGCCCTCGTGGAACAATGAACCCAGACTTCCCATCTCCCATGCCCCCGATGGCCGGAGATGCGGAACAACTGGAGAAGGAGGGACAGGGGGACCAGGTCCTGGACCGCCCCGAATGCCTGCCCGCCTTCAGGGTCCCACACCTCACTGACCGGGCGGCGATTGTCCAATTGGGTTTCCGCTCACGCCCCCTGAGGGATGGGGGGGGAAAACCTTTTGCAGGGAGGCTCAACCCCCCTTTCGGAGAATTTCCCCATTGGCTACTTTGGGCGCCCTGATCATGACCCTTACCCGGCCCTGGATTGACAAGGTCCGAATGTCCCTGGCATCAGGTGCCACCACACACCCCTTCCAGGAAGCCGACCTCGAGGAGCTGCGGGCTATCCTAGGACCGAGGCACCTCCATGAACGATGCCCAGGACAACCCTTCCTCCTGGACTTAGTGTCGCACTTGGCATCCCTTTCAGGTGACCCTGATTGGGAGTTCCCCCTAACACTGAAAGAGGGGGTCCCCTTGGGAGTCTCGGACCCTACCTTGACCTCCCCGGGAGTTTGGCCCACTAAGGAGGAGCTTAAGGGAGAAGCCTGGCTGGGGGAAGATCCCCCCCCGCCAGTGGCTCATGGTAACTACCCAACGGCTGAACTCTTTGCCAAGGAAATCGAATCAACCTTTTATGAGGAACGAGCCTTGGACATGGTGGACGGGCCCTTCACTCGCTCCGAGGCGGCAGAGAGGTGCCGCTGCAAACCGGAGGAACTTTGCCCGGGCCCCCTTGCAGGGATTGATGAGTCGGACAAGATCAGGACGATCTATGATGGCTCAAAAGGGGGAGCAAACGCACACATCCAGGCTCACACGGAGGAGAAGACCACCGCACCGATGGTTGGAGACTGCCTCCATGCCATCCATTGGCTCAGGACAGCGGCGGACCATCCTCATCTACTCCGAGCCCCATCCTCGGGCACTGATGAGGAACCTCGGGATGTTCGCCAGTCGGTGCAGGGGCAGTCCCCAGGTGCCGAGGGCCCTGAGAGGGCCCCCCACAGCACCAGCCCGCCCCCAGGTGCCGAGGGCCCTGATAGGGGCAGGCGGATGATGGACGTCTCTCCGCGGTCAACACCCTCAGGGAAGGGGCCACCTTCAGGTGCCGAGGGCCCTGATCGGAGGGCCCCATTCCCCCAGGCACGGAACGCCCTGGGGGGAGCAGGGGGGAACCCCTGACGTGGCAGCCGCCGACACAGGGGGAAACCTTCATCATCCTCAAGGCGGATGTCACCAAGGCCCACAGGCGCATCAAAGTGCTCCAGAAAGACTGGAAATACCAGGTGGCCTGCATCCAGAACCGGTGGTGGGTCAATAGAGTGGGCACGTACGGCATGGCCTCGGCACAACTGTACTGGGGAAGAAAGGCATCCTTGGTGCTCAGACTCTTGTACTACATCTTCCCTCAGGTGGACTGGCACTTAGTTTTTGTGGACGACTACTGCTGGGTCCTCAGATGCAGCAGGGCGGACTGGGACGCCACAGCCATCCTGGCCACTCTTCTGGCGCTGGGAGTCCCGCTTTCTTGGAAGAAGACGGCGCTCTCCCCGGTCAATACCTGGTTGGGATTCGTGGTGGACCCAATCACGCCCTGTGTGCTGCTGGCTCCAGTCAAGCACGTCATAATCCTGGCCACTCTCAAACGGCTGGCCCAGGGGGACATCTTTACCAGCAAGGAGGTGGAACAAGCCCTGGGCCGGATTCAATGGGCTACTTCGGCGTGTCCATTGACGAAACCTTTCCTCCAGCCCTTTTGGAGCTGGAAGAAGGCCTGCACCACTTCGGGCAGGCCACCGAAACTGGTTCGTGCTCTGGCCATCCTTCTGGGGAAGCTCTTCAACCAGAGGTTCCCACTGGCATCTCCATTTGCTCCCACACTTCCATGGACGGGGGCATCTGATGCGGGAGCTGGCAAACAGGCGGACCATGCATGGGTTGGTGGTTGGTGCTCGGACGTGCCCAACCCCGACAAGTCCCGAGTGAAGTGGTTCCAACACAGAATCACACCGGAGGGCGAGCCGTGGGCCTTCACTACTGGGGACCCGCAGCGGGCGATAGCGGCCTTGGAGCTTTTCGGCCTCCTCCTTTTGGTGAGGGCTGTTCTGCTCTGTGCAGCCGGCTCGGTTTCTCACACTAGGATTCTGGTTGCTAGTGATAACCAGGGAAACGTTTTCTCCCTGCTTAACGATTCCACTCGCAGGATGCCCAATGCGGCCATCCTCATGGAAATTGTGTTAACACTGCATGACCACCAGGTCATGTTAGGACCGTCGCATGTGAAGCGCGACTTTAACACATGGGCGGATGAACTTACTCATCCGGACCCGCAATTTCCGACTGAGAACCGGGTCTTCCCCTCAGTCGAAAGCGAATTGATCAAGCTGATCTTCGCTACTTTCCTTCCTCACCCATGATGCCGGGAGGGCATCCGGTGAGGTGGGAGGATTCCTCCCTCGCTGTGGGAGTGGCATCAATTCTACTCCCATCAGCTGCTGAGGGGAGCTGCCCAGTGGAGCTGGGCAATCCTCCCATTTTGGCACTAATCCTTATGCGGCGTAAAGGATGCACCGTTCGCGATTAAGGTACCAGTAGCACCAATGTGGTGCTTTGAAGAGTCCAGATGGTTTTCAGATTCGGATCCCTGGAAAGAATGGAAATGGAAGGTACCCCTGGAATTTTAAAACAAAACGAGTCAACGAGTCAACTGCGAGGCACGTTTCGGCCGACTTCGGAGGCGCCTTACCGGAAGCCCATCCTCATGGGGCTCCACTGGCTGTCAGGCAAGGAGCTCCCGACCCCCGGCTCGAAGAGATCGATGGGCAGGTACCGAGTGGTAACTTGGGAGGGGTGGGGGGGGTAGGTTGAAGAAATAGCCCGGTCTGTCTGTTTTTGCAGGTGCCCCTGCTTTTTCGTGGTTTTAAAGGGAAGCCAAGAGGAAAAACCGCCATTTTGGGGTACCCCTGTTTAGAGACACGAACATGTCCTGAATGAATCTGAAGATGATAATTAATGATAAGAGTCTAAATAATCAACACACGGAAACATTTAGTGGGAAACGAGAAGAAACGAAAAGGGGTATCCATTGGCTGCAGCAAGGTTCAGTCTTACAAGGGCGCATGGCCTGCCTGTGTGTTTCAGCATTGCTTAGACAACAGCTGGCTGCCCCAGTGGATTCTTCCTGTGTGCCTCTTTTAGCACCCTTGCGGAGTGGACAGGCGAAGCGTCCACACGTTTGGATGTTTGTCAAACCAACGCCATGGATGGCGCTACGGTCCGGCTACTTGGAGTCAAAGAGATGGTCATCTTCATGTAAATCTTTGACACCCCAAAAAAGAGAAGCCCTTCATCATGGAGAGTTTGGTGGGTGTCTTTTTCCGTTTGGCACCTGCTGCTTCTTTCCCGTGACCGCGGTTTCCCTAAAAGGCCCGGGGTGATGTGTCAGGAGTTCCAGTCTGAAGTGAGCAAAGCAGAGGAAGTCCCATGCCTAATGGCATTGTGGGGAAAAGCTGGATCCTCATCTCAGCTTTCACCAATACTGGGAGTTCACACCACACCGCATGCAAAAGTGTTGGGACGTGGAGGCTTGCAAGTTCAGATTCCAATCATTCTGAGGTTGCCCACACGCAGAGCACAACAGTCTGAGGTTTTCAGAAATTGTCAAGAGGAAAGAGAAGGCACCCTTTGGGAGCTGATTGTAAAGGCCCTACCAGAAAAGGGTCTTTGTTGTGCAATGTTGTGCCTACCCTGGCTGCAATGATTCACTTGACTTTCCACAGACGCAAACCTTCACTCGGCCGAGCCAAAGGATGAGCATTGCAGCCGACTTCAAGGTGGGAGGGCTGTCTTTGCCATGGATAGGGTGCGATCTCTCCACGCGAGGAGGGTGGTTGGTGAACGTACCGCGCCCCAAGTAAATGCCGTCTACCACAGGCTTTTGAATTCAGATCGGTGCCGGTGTAGAATCTCCCGGAATAGTTTTCGGAGATGTCAGGGGAACTTAGACCATCAGGTTCTTATGCGGGACGGCCAGCGGGCTTGGCATGAACCCAACTTCGCTTTGCGCATTCTGGGTCAGTTGTGGCGGTTAACACTTGTGTTAAAAGTAACAACCGATAGCGGAAGGCATTTGAATCACACTCAGATTCGAACCTTGAGTGCCTGCAGGATGACACTGCTTGATTCATGCTCCGTTCGCCATTTTGGCTCAAGCCAAATTTTTCTTTTCTTTCCGACCTACCTGCCCTGCCTGCTCGACCGCCATGACTGCTCCAGCGAATTTCGCATCCATCGTGGAGGAGTACCAGCTCATGGAAATGACCGAGCTCGACCCGGATTATGAACGACTGTACCGGGCCCTTCAGGACCATCTTTCGATCCTGCCCGAGGCGGTCGGTCCGGGCAACATCTTGCAGGGCAATCAGGTCTGCAACCAGTTCATCAACCATTCCGGCTGCAGGGGACGTGCACCTGCCTCTGCCCACCAGTGCGCCTTTTTGCATCCGGAGTTCGTTGATGCGCGTTGGATGCCGCGAGACAACATCTGTTACCGACATCTTCGACAACAGGCCCGGCATCCAGAAGGCTTTTGCGACAGTGGTGCCGAATGCCGCCATGTTCACAGCGACTCAGTCCTGCATGGTGACCTTCTTGCCTGGCTGCGCTTCGTGCACCATGCCAGACCCAACACCGGCGTGGGCATCCACTATGACACAGCCCACCGTGAATGGCGCTTCGTGTCCAGGCGGGAGGCCTTTGAAATCCTCCGCGACCACCTTCACGGCGAGTGGAACACGCCCATTCACCACATGAACGTTCGGTACCCCGATCCGTGCACCTACCAGATGCCATACGCGGTACCACGTGGCCCGCCAAGCACATTGAACCCGTCTCGCCAACGGAACAACACCCCCCGACAGCAGCGAGGCCGCTCCACACAACCGGGATACTCCCGAGCTATGACACCACCGCGGACCGTCAACTTCGCGACACCCACGGCTCGCGACACTCCCAGACAGGCCCGATTCCCGGAGGCGACCACCACATCGACCGGGCCCGTCCCGCACCACATGCCTTCACCACGCCCGCAACCCACCACACCATCCAAGGCGGCACCCTCCACACCATCCAACCAACATCACGACTTAGTCCAGTGGCTCCAGCCGCCAGGCATCGACCGTGACGACAGCACACAAGGCCTGCTGTCAACCCAGCGGGCCGGACACATCCGCGCGCGGGTACACGAAGATGCCACCTTCCTGATCAATCCGGAACTGCTACCGGAATTCCCCTCCGTCCTCGACCACATCGGCTTGCAATGGCACCTGACCAACTACGGCATCTTCTCGCGCACCCCCACCAATGTGTACGGCAATGACTTCGGGGGCCTTTTTCTTGTACCCGTGGAACCAACTACGCAGGTCACACCTCTCAGGAGCCTGCTGCGCTGGATTATCCAGCAACACGTTCACCAACAACTCCAGCTGCTCAACAGCGCCAACCGGCAGCACATGCTACAACAACTGACCTGTTCCTGGCTTACCTTCGGGAGGCAGCTCTGTCGCGCCTCCCGGCGAGACCCTTTTGTGGACAACATGGCAATCACCTTCGGGGAGACCATCATTGAGACAATTTCCAATTTCCTGACCCCCGAACAACGCACCATGGCGACCATCGAGGGCATCCTGCTCGGCCCCGACGGACACCTGCGCTTCAACCGGGAGCTCTAAGACTGAGCAGAGCCAGGACTCCCGCTACTGACCAGGCGGCACCGAGGAGTCTCCAAACCCGCCACCCTAAGTTGACCCACCAAGTCCATGTCCCGTGCGATGGTGGGCCAGCAATAGGGCGATGACCCTCATACCGCACAGGTGACACCCATGCCTAGGCGACCGCCTGAGGCCCCCTTTTCCCGAAGAGAGATCCATCTTCGGACCGCGCAAAAGCGCTGAGAGCCTCGAGCCCGGGTCGACCTTCTTCGTCCCCCCGTCCCCCCTGTTTGATTCGAGAGGATACCCCTTGACAAACCGACCCACTGCTGAGGCCCATACTGCGGTGACCAATCCCCACTCGCCTGCCCCGAACCCGACCGGTCTTTCACCCCACTTCGGATCCCCTGTGGATTACCCTCGGTTTCTTCGGGTCGGATCCCTGATGACAAACTGGCCGACCCCGGTCACCTTCACACCGCAGGGAGTTGGTCCTACGGGACAGCTCCACCCCTCGGGATGACATTTGTGCCGGTGTGGCGTGTCATCTAACACGACGTTTGTGCCGGTGTGGCGCGTCGTACAGCTCCCCCCATCAACGGGCCATCCTTGGACCCGAGTCACCTAGACACACCCCCCTGGCCCGACCAACCCCCCCCCCCTTTTGACTCACACCCGGCACACTACCGACTCCTGCGTGAGTTCGGCAAGCGCCACCTCCAATTCCGAAGGAATTTTCAGGCTGGTTTTTGTGTATCCGATATCGCACCCCCTTCGCACAACATGGCACTTCGCGAGACCGACGCAGTCTGCGAGCTCCTCCTGCGGTCCTACAACACCGGCGTCCTCTCGAGGTTCCAGACCTTCCGCACCGAGAATCCCCGCCTCTCCACCACGGACGCGATCGACCTCTTCATGGAGTCGACCAACACCGAGCCGGACACGCGGACACGCTACCTGCTGCTGGACTGGCACAACCTGAATCCAACACCAGCCACACTGCAGTGCTCGTTCTGCCAGATCCCATACCAATCCCAGTACATCATGCCCCTCTGCTTCTCAGAGGAAACCGACTGGCGAAACAAGTGGGTCGGGGCGTGCTACGGGTGCGCTACCTGCGACACCAGTAGCGTGCCGTGGTTCCAGTTCGAGGAGCTCCTGGCCGACCCGAACTCCCTGATTGCAGAACACGCACCGTACAACACCATCGCAGAGCACCCCGACCTCGCGGCCATGATCAGCGACCATACCATCGCCCCACCGACCTTACAGATTGCGGTGCCAGAGACGGACGACGCTCACGACGCCTACATCACCGTGCACAGGTGGGACCAGGTCAACCGCCGCTGGATCAGGGTACCAGCCCTCGACGTGAAGAACCGCCGGCCATTCACCCTCGAGGTGTTCAGCAAGCTGTGCCGACGAGCATGGCGACGCCGCTTGGACTACATGACCAACAAGGCCGTCGGCACCATCCGCACGAACACCCACATGGACATGATGGACTCCTTGCGCGAGATCCACCCCGGAACCTCCAACAACCACCTGCGCCGCCTCATCAGCGACCACTCCAAGTTCCTCGCCGAAACCATGTGCCTCGACCTCATCAACCTGGCACCCGAGGACCGACGAGACCTATTCCTCATGTTCCACAAATGGGAGAGGCAGCACCTCACCGAGGCATTGCGCGCAAACAGCACCGGGACCCTCCTTGAGTTCTTGGACTCTGACGACTATCCCACACACCTCACCGATTTCATCACCCGCGTCCTCCCGTCCACCGACGAGCACTTTATCTGCCGACGTCAGTCGTGCAAAGCGGTGGTACATTCGTCACATTGGCTGCGCGCCACCGCCAACATCACCGAGCACGGCCAGTTCTTCTGTCCCGAGTGCCTCCAGCAATACCACCCCTGGAAAACCTACAGTGACGCCAAAGCCGCATCCCGAGGGGAGGCCCTGACCGCAGCCGGCCAAGACGACACAGAACGCTTCGTGCCGGCCCAGAAGTGCCTCGTGGTACGCGCCACCGCTGGAGCACACGAGACGGACCAATTGGCAGAGGCCATCACCGGCGACGACGACCGGCGCTACATGCTCTACCTTCTTCGCTGGGAGGAGGACACGACCGGCAAGCTCATCCAACAGATGAAGGTCCACATCAACGAGATCGCATCCGACCTGCGACAAGCCAAGGACCCCCGCGCCTATCTGGCCGACATGATCATGAACAACATGCAGACGGCTCAGAAACTGCCATACATGCACAGGACCTTCTGGACCCAAGAGAAGCTGGAGCAAGTCGCCCAGCGCAACCTGGGACGCATCAAGCCACTCCGAGTCGACCTGCTCCCCAGCCAGAAGCGACAACGCCACCAACCCGCCACGCCCTTCTACGACATGCGGCGCTATCGCTACGACCCCAGTTCCACCCGCATCCTTGAGTCCTCGGACCTCGCCAGAGTGATGGGGCTGTGCTTTTGCCGCCTCAAGCTCTGGACCTGCCAAGACCTCGAGGGGGCGGACCGTCTCAACCACTTGAGCGCCCTGTGACGGACCTCGACCAGCACCGCAACCACTACGACCCGAAGGGCGTCCGTGTCCCGCGCGAGCCCGGAGGGTCCGACCAACGCGGTTGCCTTCGCACGACCCATCTTCCTGAACCTGCCGCCGAAGTGCAACCTCGTTTGGCAGTACGTCAGGACACCCGTGCAAAGAGCAAAAGGCGCACCATGTGTTTGAAGCCAAACACCCCTAAATCCCCCCGGACTTTTGCTCACCTTGATTGTTTGCATTGTGCTTTTGTCTCCACGTGTGGCAAACCTTTGATACATTTTACATAGCCATTTTTGGCCCCTCTCGGCCCTTGATACAGATCACCCCGAGATGACGTTCCGTGACATTCGAGCATGGCTACCCCAGCGGTCCTTGCTGGCGATCGCCCCGCTCGTTGCCCTAGCCGGAATAGACGACTTGGCGACATTCCGCAACATGGACCGGGCTGCATTGGTGCGGATCGGCGTGCCACACGACCTGATCAATCGACTCCTGGGCGACGACCAACTGGTCCTTGACTACATGCCCCCGGTCCGGCGCGACATCCAACCATATCACACCACACGACA